CAGGGTTTCACCATGTAGCCAGGATGGTCTCTGTCTCTTGACCTCGTGATCCGCCTTACCTAAGCTTCCCAAAGTGCTGGGACAGGCATGACCACCGCGCCCGGCCGTGACTAATTTTTTAAAAATGTCTGTAGAGATGGGTCTGGCTCTGTTGCCCAGGCTGCTCACAGACTTCTAGTCAAGCAATCCTCCTATCTTGGCCTCCTAAAGCTCCTGGCCTTCCCTTTTTTATTTTATTTTATTATTTATTTTTTATTTATTTTTTTTTTTGAGACGGAGTTTCACTCTTGTTACCCAGGCTGGAATGCAATGGCGCGATCTCGGCTCACCACAACCTCCGCCTCCTGGGTTCAGGCAATTCTCCTGCCTCAGCCTCCTGAGTAGCTGGGATTACAGGCACACACCACCATGCCCAGCTAATTTTTTTGTATTTTTAGTAGAGACGGGGTTTCACCATGTTGACCAGGATGGTCTCGATCTCTTGACCTCGTGATCCACCCGCCTCGGCCTCCCAAAGTGCTGGGATTACAGGCTTGAGCCACCGCGCCCGGCCTATTTTATTTTTTTAAATGTATCTTTTGAGACTAGACATACAAGTCAATGGAACAGAACAGAAAACCCAGAATTGTTAACAAATTTTTAACAGAAGTGCTAAGGGATTTCAATAAGGAAAGAGAGCATCTTTTCAGCAAATTGCATAAAATAATATAGTTCTTTTATAGAAATTGACTTTAATCACAACAATTTTTGTTATTTGGAGTTTTTGTTTTTGTTTTTGAAACGGAGTCTTACTCTATCACCCAGGCTGGAGTACAGTGGTGCAATCTTGGCTCACTACAACCTCCACCTCCCAGGTTCAAGTGATTCTCCTGCCTCAGCCTCCTGAGTAGCTGGGATTACAAGTGCACGACACCACACCCGGCTAATTTTTTGTATTATTAGTAGAGATGGGGTTTCAACATGTTGGCTAGGCTGGTTTTGAACCCTGACCTCAGGTGATCCACCTGCCTCAGCCTCCCAAAGTGCTGGGATTACAGGCATGAGCCACCACATCTAACCTGGAGGAGTTTATTTTATTTTATTTTTGAGACAGAGTCCTACTCTGTCACCAGGCTGGAGTGCAGTGGCACCATCTTGGTTCACTGCAACCTCCACCTCCCAGGTTCAAGCAATTCTCCTGCCTCAGCCTCCCGAGTAGCTGGGATTGCAGGCACCTGCCATCACACCCAGCTAATTTTTGTATTTTTAGTAGAGACGGGGTTTCATCATGTTGGCCAGGATGGTCTCGATCTCTTGACCTTGTGCTCCGCCCATGTTGGCCTCCCAAAGTGCTGGGATTACAGGCATGTGCCACCACTCCAGGCCTTATTTAATTTTTTTTTTTTTTTTTTTTTGGTAGAGATAGCATTTTGCGATGTTGTCCAGGCTGGTCTTGAACTCGTGGCCTCAAGTGATCCTCCTGCCTTGGCCTCCTGAAGTTCTGGGATTATAGGCATAGCCACTGCACCTGGTCAGTTTTGGGGGGGGCTTTGGACAGATTTTAATAGGTTTTACAGATCTCTAGCTTACAGCCTCGTGTGGTTATAGACTCTAAGCTAGACTCTACTCATTTTATTTATTTCCATTCATCAGTTGTTTCTTGCTCTTTTTTTTTTTTCCTTTTGAGACAGAGTGTACTTCCATTGCTTACTCTAGCCTTGACTTCCCAGGCTCAAGCAATCCTCTGGCCTCATCCTCCCAAGTAGCATTGACTACAGGTGTGCACCAGCATGCCTGGCTAATTTATTTAATTTTTTTTTTTTTTTTTTTTTGTAGAGGCAGATGTCCCACTATGTTGCCCAAGCTTGTCTCAAACTCAAGTGATCCAACTGCCTCAGGCTCCTGAAGTGCTGGGATTACAGGTGTCAGCCATGATGTCTGGGCGATCAGTTGTTTATTGAATGCCTGCCATTAACCAGGCAGTGTGCTGGATGCTGGCAAAAGCAATGATGAGTAAATCAGATGATGTGGTCCCTCTTGCGAAGTTAACGTGTTAGTTGGAAAACCAGAAAAGAAAAACATTAAAACAGAAAAAAAGCAAAAACAATTGAAGATGGTGGCATGTCCTGAAACAGACAAGGGGCTGGAATAGAGAAGGTAAGAGGGTGGCCAGGAAAACTCTCCCCCAAGACATTTTGAGACCTAAAGGATGAAAAACAAGTTAAGGGGTAAGTGGAAGAAAAGAACTTCCTAGGCAGAAAACTTGATGTTTTCAAAAAACAGAAAGGAATCCAGTAAAGCTTTGAGGCAGCTTGCAGAGGGAGGAGGGGTAATGAGGGCAAGCAAGTACACAGGGCCAGATCCAGTGGTCTCATCTAGAGCCAGCATGGAAGGCTTTAGGAGCAAGCGGAAGCCATGACAGGGTTGTAAATTGGCAACGGACTTAATGCTGGAAAGGGGCAAAAAGTGCAGGCACCTAAATTAGAGTTAGGGTTTTTGGCTACATTTTGTTTTCTCCTTTTCAAAGTATTTGCTCAACATTGAAAGACTGCTGATTGAATTTACTTCTTGTCTTTCCCACTGCGTCCTCCTGAGCAAACTAAAGAGCTCACTTATTTAACCAGCTGACTCCGTATCTAGTCAACCAGCCCGGGAGTAGGTGAGAGCACGGGAAGGATCTCATTCTGACTAACCTGAAAGGAATCTAGGCCAGTGATTTTGGTGAAGCCACAAATAGGCTTATCTAGGAGTGGAGTTTCTTTTGCAACCTCGCTGAAAATGTTTTAAAGTGTCTCCACAAGACCTAACAGCGTAGGAGAAAATTGGATTTGGAAAGCTACCAACCTGCTCATTTTTGCATGTACTCATAACAACTTTTTCCCTCCAGAGGTTATCTCTGTAAAGCTTACCACATTCTTTTCAGACAGGACCTGGCCTGTTCATTGGTGAATCAGCAAAACTGCAAAAAATGGAGTTTTAAAGAGGAACTAACATGGGGGAGGAATAGGTGTCGCAAAAGGGGGTAGTAACTATGTCTATGATTTATTTTTCAAATGAAGTCTTGAAGTAAATGTGACAAATGTTAATTGTTAATTTTGTGTAGTGGTACATGGCATGGGAATATTTAAATTATTTTTTGTGTTTTTACATATTTTCTAATGTCTCAAAATAAAAATAAGTAAACTGCAGCCAGGCACAGTGGCTCATGCCTGTAATCCCAGCATTTTGGGAGGCCCAGGTGGGCGGATCACAAGGTCAAGAGATTGAGACCATCCTGGCCAACATGATGAAACCCCGTCTCTACTAAAAATACAAAAATTAGCTGGGCAAGGTGGTATACGCCTGTAGTCCCAGCCATTCAGGAGGCTGAGGGAGGAGAATAACCTGATCCCGGGAGGTTGCAGTGAGCCGAGATCGAGCAACTGCACCACTCCAGCCTGGCAACAGAGCGAGACTCTGTCTTAAAAAAAAAAAAAAGAAAAAAAAATGGTAGAGTAAGGCCAGGCCACGTGTGTGTGTGTGTCTGTGTTTTAAACAGGGTCTCACTGTGTTGCCCAGGCGGGAGTGCAGTGGTCCAATCTTGGCTCACTGCAACCTCTACTTCCTTGGCTCAAGTGATTGATCCTCCCACCTCAGCCTCCCATGTATGTGCCTGTGACTACAGGCACCTGCCAACACCAATTAGCTAGATAATTTTTTATGTTTTTTTGTAGAGATGAGGTCTCAAAAAAAAAAATCAGAGAGATTATCACACATGGCTGGGCATGGTGGCTCACACCTGTAATCCCAGCACTTTGGGGAGGCCAGCGTGGGTGGATCACCTGAGGCCAGGAGTTTGAGACCAGCCTGGCCAACGTGGTAAAACCCTGTCTCTACTAAAAATACAAAAATCAGCCAGGTGTGGTAGCGCATGCCTGTAATCCCAGCTACTAGGGAGGCTGAGACAGGAGAATTGCTTGAACCTGGGAGGTGTAGGTTGCAGTGAGCCGAGATCGCGCCACTGCACTCCAGCCTAGGTGACAGAGTGAGATTTCGTCTCAAATAAATAAATAAAAATGATCTGCATAGGCTGAGAAATGGTTTAGAAACGTAAGCCAGATCAAAGCCAGAAAAAAAAACATAAGCCAGAAAAAAGTGGGTGTGGGATTTGGCCCCTTATTCTACTATTAGAAGTCAGTCTATCCTAAAGATAGAGGAATTTTCAAAAGTTTTTGCCTTTGGGAGTTTGAGGAAAAAAACGGGGGCTTGAGGTAAATCCAAACAAAAAGCAAATGAGTTTGGAGGGGATTCTGCCCTAATATTCCTCTAAATGGGACCTGGGAAGGCTGTTGAAAAATATAGACTATTTCAGGGAAGTTCCAAATAAATTATGTAGCTGAATCACCCTAATAAGGAGGTCATGCATAGCTCCCCACTCCCTAAGTGTGGGCTTTAGGCTAAAAGAGTAACTTGAGAGTGGAGAAACCTACAAATCCTACTTTATCCATGGAATCATGGTTGAATAAGGAGTCGGAAATCATGATACCGCCCTCCACTCTTTTTTTTGTTTTTGGTCGAGACTGGGTTTGTATGTTGTCCAGGCTGGTCTCGAACTCGAGGTCAAGCGATACACCCGCCTCGGTTCCCCAAAGTGCCAGGATTGCAGGCGTGGGCCACCACACCCAGCCAAAAATCATGTACCCTTGATTGGCATTAATAAAATGACATTGGACCTCTGTGATCTTCCTCCCCTACACCCATAACACTGTGTAATTATGAGAAACAGTTCAGTAAAGGCGCATCCTCCAATATACCTAATCAGTACTCCTATAAACAGCTCGACTGATTTCAGATAGAGGAACTCCTCATCTTTTCTTCCTCCCACCCAGGACCCCAGGAAAACACCCAGGTCAGGTCACGAGCCAGCTGCGTAGGCGGAACCCCAGGCGTAACCGCCCGAGCGCGCGCCCCCCCAGGCCGCGGCAGGGAGGGACTTCCTGGACGTCGCTCTCTTCCCATTGGCTAAGAAGGGTCATGTGGCTGGATGCGCAGTCGCCCGGCCGGAACCGGCAGCGCGGTTATAAAATAAAGGACCCCGAGCTCTGCGCGAGGGCGGTCTCTGCCGTTCCACCCACCTCGCCCTTCAGCCCTCAGCTCCAGCCCGCTGCTCACCGGCTTAGCGTTGCTCTCGCCATGGCTCTCAGCGATGCTGACGTGCAAAAGCAGGTGAGGGGCTGGGCTGGGTCTCGCGAAGCCGCGGCGCCGGTCCAGGGTGGGCTGGAGCCCGGCTTGGGGAGGCCGCGGGCCGTGAGCCGCCCAGGTGCCGCAGGAAGGCCCCTTGCCCCCCGTCACCAGGCCCTAGAGGTCGGCCTGAGGAGGGAGATCGGCCCCGCTGCTCCCTTGTCACCTCTGCCCGGGTCTCGCGCACTGCCCGCTTGCCTGCGCGCCGCCTCAAAAAAAGAAACCAGCCTCGTCACTTTTTTTTCTCCTGAGGGAAGTGCTTAAGGCATATGATGATAGGGAAGAAACCGTGCGGGAAAAAGAAACCTGCTTCCACCAGCTCTGTGGCCCCAGGCTGGAGCGCAGTGGAATGATCTCGGCTCACTGCAACCTCCGCCTTCCGGGTGCAAGCAGTTCTCCTGCCTCAGCCTCCCTAGAAGCTGGGATTACAGGCGCCCGCCCCACGTCCGGCTAATTTTTGTATTTTTTGTGTTTTTAGTAGAGGCGAGGTTTCACCATGTTGGCCAGGCTGGTCTCGAACTCCTGACCTCAGGTGTTCCGTCCGCCTAGGCCTCACAAAGTGCTGGGATTACAGGCGTGAGCCACTGCGCCTGGCTTTTATAAACTGTTAATCTTTTTTTTTTTTTTTTTTTGGTCTTTATGTTTTTTTCCTTTTTGTGGAGAACAGAGTCTCGCCATATTGCCCAGGCAGCTCTCGAACTCTTGACCTCAAGCTATCTTCCCGCCTCTGCCTCCCTAAGAGTTGGGATTACAGGCGTGAGCCACAGCGCTTGGCCTGAACTGTTAATCTTTATTTTGGGGGAGTCTCCTTTATCGTAATGGGTTGTAATGGTTGGTCTCCCACTAATGTGTATGTTAAAATTTGTGAAATACAGGCCGGGGCCGGGCGCTGTGGCTCATGTTTGTAATCCCAGCACTTTAGGAGGCCAGGGAGGTTGGATTACCCGAGGCCAGGAGTTGGAGACCAGCCTCTACTAAAAATGCAAAATTAGTAGGTTGTGGTGGCGCATCCCTGTAGTCCCAGCTACTAAGGAGGTTGAGGCAGGAGAATCTCTTGAACCCGGGAGGTGGAGATCGTGGTGAGCCGAGATGGCGCCATTGCATTCCAGCATGGGCAACAGAGCAAGACTCCGACTCGGGGAAAAAAAAAAAAAAAAAAAAAAAGAAATAAATAATTAGCTGGGCGTGGTGGCGCGTGCTAAGGAGGGCGATGCTGGAGAAGCATTTGAGCCCAGGAGGTCGAGGCAGTGAGCTATGATCTTCCCACTGCGGTCCATCCTAGGCGACAGAGCAAGACGTTATCTCTACAACATAAAATTAAATAAAAATGTGCGAAATGCAGGATCTCTTTTTATGAGCCTCGGTGCCTAACTGTGTTTGGCCCCTAGTAGATCAATCAGAGTTTATGGGGAGAAATTGTTATGGAAGTTGTGAACCCACATCAGTTTTGAAAGTGTGTAATCAGTCCTGGGAAACTTGCTTAGTTTTTTTTGTTTGTGAATGCCATCCCTTCAAGTCTGTAGGTATTAAGAATTTTGTAATGCACAAGATTCCCAGGGGAATAGAGTAGCATTTTATAAGCCTATAACTAACAAGAAAAAGTGGTTTCCATTTATCCTGTCAATAGATATCCTGAAACTAGAATCCTTGCAATAAGTAGTCACATTGCGGATTTTCCAGAGAAGGAAGTTTAAAGCTGCAGTTTAATTTGCACATAGTTTAGGGAACTAAGCCTATGGTTTTCTGAAGTACTGTGCTCGGAAAATTCTCTTACTAAAGCATACTCACTGTCTTATGAGTCTTCTGAGATGAGCAATAGAATGTTTTCCCAGCCGGAGTGTGGTGGCTCATGGTGGCTCATGGCTGTAATCCCAGCACTTTGGGAGGCTGAGGTGGGCGGATCACCTGAGGTCGGGAGTTCCAGACCAGCCTGACCAACATGGAGAAACCTCGTCTCTACTAAAAATTCAAAATTAGCTGGGCATTGTGGCACATGCCTGTAATCCCAGCTACTCGGGAGGCTGTGGCAGGAGAATTGCTTGAACCCAGGAGACTGCAGTGAGCCGAGATTGCACTACTGCACTCCAGCCTGGGCAACAGGAGTGAAACTCTGTCTCAAAAAAAGAAGAAAATGTTTTTTCTTGGATGTTTCCATTTTTTGAAAATGTCTTCATTTTATTCTTAACCTAATAGGCACTAAGAAGTGCCTGTTTCTTCATCCCTATTTATTCTTCATTTTATGGTTCTCGTGCTAATCCCTAAGGGGAAATAGTGATAAAAAAAATAGTGTCTGTGGAGAAGTTTAAGAAATAGAATATTCTTACAGAACAATAAGAGTTTTTTTAAAAACCTTTTTCACTGCTTCTTGGTTTTCAATAGAAGAAAAGTTTGATGGCCAGGCGCTGTGGTTCACGCGTGTAATCCCAACACTTTGGGAGGCTGAGCAGGTGAATCACCATGTCAAGAGATCGAGACCATCCTGGCCAACATGGTGAAACTCTGTCTCTACTAAAAAAAAAAAAAAATACAAAAATTAGCTGGGTGTGGTGGCGTGTGCCTGTAGTCCCAGCTACTTGGGAGGCTGAGGCAGGAGAATTGCTTGAACCCCGGGGGGCAGAAGTTGCAGTGAGCCAGGCTCAGGCCACTGTACTCCAGCCTGGCAATGGAGTGAGACTCTGTCTCGAAAAAAAGAAGAAAAGTTTGATGCAGTGGAAAAGTAAAATGCCCTCCATATACTCTTAGTGGTCATAGTCCTAGTTCTCTCCCTCTTGTTCGTTTTCTTGCCTCCTTGTCGTAATACATTGGAGACTAAGGTTTCCGTAGGAAAAACTAGTGTAAGTTGTAGTTCCTTGGAATCTAGATCAATTTTTTTTTTTTTTTGAAACGGAGTCTTGCTCTGTCGCCCAGGCTGGAGTGCAGTGGCATGGTCTCAGCTCACTGCAACCTCTGCCTTCTTAGTTCAAGTGATTCTCCTGTCTTAGTCTCTCCAGTAGCTGGGACAACAGGTGTGTGCCACCACGCCTGGCTAATTGTTTTGTATTTCTAGTGCTGGTGGGGTTTTGCCATGTTGGCTGGGCTGGTCTTGAACTCCCAATCCCTGGTGATCCACTGGCCTTGGCCTCCAAAATGCTGGGATTATAAGCATTACACTGGCCTACTTTTTTCTTTACGTAAAATTGAAAGAAGGAATCTTGTCTATTTCCTGTAACTTTCATACTACGTGAAAGCTCCATGAGGACACTGTTTTGTTTACTATATTCTCATCAGTAAATAGACCAAGCACCAAGCCCATAGTAGATGCTTAATAAATCCTGAATTCTCTGATTTCTCCACTGTACAAAAATATTTGTGTATACTTACTTTTTTGCCGTGGAGGTATATACGGTAATTTATTTCATCAAATTTACAAAGGATCCTGACTCTGAAAAACTTAATTTCTGAGAAAGTCGAAGAAAATTTTTTTTTTTTTTTGAGACGGAGTTTCGCTCTTGTTACCCAGGCTGGAGTGCAATGACACGATATCGGCTCACCGCAACCTCCGCCTCCTGGGTTCAAGCAGTTCTCCTGCCTCAGCCTCCCGAGTAGCTGGGACTATAGGCACATGCCACCATGCCCAGCTAATTTTTGTATTTTTAGTAGGGACAGGGTTTCACCATGTTGACCAGGATGGTCTCGATCTCTTGACCTCGTGATCCACCCACCTTGGCCTCCCAAAGTACTGGGATTAGAGGCATGAGCCACTGTGCCCAGCAGAAACTATTTTTTAAAGGTCAAATTTTCTTCCTTAGGGGTGGAGTTAAATGTCCTTAAGGGGTTGACTATATTTATTCTTGGAACTCTTAAAGAATATGATCATGTTAACTGTAAACAGGCTTTTTGATCTGGGTTGGAATAAGTGCAGTTTGTTCTAGGCTGTGTTGGTCTGGTGAAATCTTGTAGCCAGGGGTTCAGCAGAGTACTAAAGGCATATAATCCAGGTTTGAATCAGGGTTCACCTTTAGAGGCCAAACTTGTAGCATTTATAAACACCAGTTTTGATTACTGTATTTAGATAAATAACGACCTTTTTTTTTTTTTTTTTTTTAAGACAGTCTCACTGTGTTGCCCAGGCTTGAGTGCAGTGGCGCAATCTCAGCTCATAGCAACCTCCACTTCTTGGGTTCAAGGATTCTCCTGTCTTAGCCTCCTGAGTACCTGGGATTATAGGCACCTGCCACCACACCCGGCTAATTTTTTTTTTTTTTTTTTTTTTTTTTTTTTTGT